GGAAGGCTGTGTTTAGTTAAGTACAACTTTTCTTCCTAGTTGTATTACTTTAAGCAAGTGTATTAATCTTTGTGAATCTTAGTTTTCTCATCTGTACAGTGGGAATAATAATACCACCCTCTTTGAGAAAGAGTGCTAAAATCAAATAATTGTAAGTAAGTTAAGTACAGACTTGGCACATAAGTTTCAAAAAGATTAGATATTTTTGTTTTTAATTGATTAGCTCCTAGATGTCAGGCATTGTAGAATCACTAAAGTGGGCCCTCTTCCCCAAAGTAGTTCTCAGTCTGGTAGAGAATTCTGACAAATATTTCAGAAATATAAAATAATTTAATGCTATTATATAGAGGGAAATAGGTCAGCCTGGACACTTACGTAAGAGGAACATGTGACCTAGGCTTTGGGGAACAAGATCAAGATAGGCTTTTGAAAAGAGGCAACATTTAAGCTAAGTCTAAAAAACGTGGATGAGTTAAGGAGAATTAAGAGCATTACAGGGGTACCTGGGTGGCTTAGTTGATTTAAGCCTCTGACTCTTGATTTCGGCTCAGGTCATGATCTTGTGTTTTGTGGGATCAAGCCCCACATCAGGCTTTGCGCTGGCAGCATGGAGCTTGCTTGGGATTCTCTCTCTCCCTCCCCCCCTCCCTCCCTCCCCCTCCCTCCTCCCTTCCCCTCTCCCCCCCCTCCCCCCGCCTCTCTCCCTCTCCTCTCTGCCCTTTCCCCCTTGTGCTTGCTTGCTCTCTCAAAATAAATAAACAGTTTTTAAAAAACAACATAAAAAAGAGCATTTCAGAAAAATGGAACAACATATGCAAAGGCCTGGAGGTGAGAGTTTGGTGGAACTCTAGGAAATGGCAAGTAATGAATGCAGTATGACTGGAATGTAGAATATGAGCAGGAATGGAACTGGAGAAGTTGGCAGGGGCCAGACCATCAAGAATATGTAGTTTGGATTTTATCTTGAAGTTATTTGCAAGCTATTGAATAATTTGTTACATATATAATCTAATTTACATTTTAAAAGATCATCTGGCAACAGTATGGAGAACAGATTGGAAGGGAGAAAGATAGGAACTTTTTGAGGCTATTTCAGTAATGCGGGGAGAAAGTATCAAATTCTGAAATGGGGAGGTGGTAGAGATGCAGCGGAGGGGATGGATTTAAAATAAGAATAGAATGAACAGCATTTGATGGTGAGTGCATGTGGGCTTCAGAAGGAATCAGTAATAGTACTTAAGATTTCTGGCTTTGGTGACTGGGAGGAAGAGGTATCTTTCTCTAAAGCAGGGGTGAAGAAGGGGGGGTACTAGGGGCACCTGGGTGGCTCAGACAGTTAAGTGACTTCAGCTCAGCTCATGATATCATGGTTTGTGGGTTCAAGCCCCGCATTGGGCTCTGTGCTGACAGTTCAGAGCCTGGAGCCTGCTTAGAATTCTGTGTCTCCCTCTCTCTCTGCCCCTCCCCTGCTCATGCTGTCTCTCTGTCTCTCAAAAATAAATAACAACATTTAAAAATTTGTTCTAATAAAAAAAGATGGGGGGTTCTAGATTTCCCAGAGGAAACGAATTGACTTGCATTTAAGAGGTCTGCAGAAGAGCCCCAGAACTCCCTGGTGGGAAGTTGAAGGGGTGAGTCTGGGAGTCAGGAAGGAGCTCTGGGTTGGAACTATATGTAGATTTGAAAATCACGAGGATGCTTTGGGAGTTAAGGCCACGGGGGACAGATGTGCGGTGAAAAGAGCAGTGTATTCACAGTGCTTGGCAAGTAGGTACTGCCAGATGAACAAATGAAGAGTGTCAAGAGTACAGTCTCGTTTAAATCTCATAACAATCTTGAATCAGGAGTATAATCCCAGTTTTACAAATGAGAATATTTCAGGCTCACAGAGGTTAAGGATTTATCCAAAATGACTTTGCTTCTAGGTGGCCAAGGTGCGATTTCAAGTCCAGTATGTTTTGATTTCAAAGGCCACTTTTTCCTTCTTTGAAAACCTCAGAAGTTTAAATATATGATGTTATTGTTAATTCTCTTTCTTTACCTCTGCCAATATCCTGGTTTCATGGGATTGTGATACATCCTTTTCAGTAACCACTTTCTCTCTAGCTTCACTTGCTTCATTCCCAAGCACATCTCTCAGATTGACCCATTCTCCCCAACCCTAGTCCAGTGCCTGTTCACAACAAGTCTTCCTCTAGCCACTGGAGGAGGCCTGTCCTCCTCAGCTGGGCATTTGGCTCATAAAATCATGAGAGCTGTCTAGAACTTCTCCGTATTTCTCACTCCTCATTAGCACATATACACATCGTTGGGTGTTGTTTACATGCATGTTTCATTGTGGTGGTCTCAGTGTTCCTTCTCAGGATCTCATGTTAAATAAATCTTTAATCTTTAGATGAAATTACTCTTATGTTGATGCTCTGTTACCACTTTTCTCAAAGTGATTTTATCTTTGTGATGGAAGCGTCTCGGGTACTATCTGACCTTAGCTCCATATCCAGCATAGGGGTTCTTTGTACTCTGTCCCTTATGTGATGAGCCAGCCTTTGCTCCTGCATTTTTCTAGAAGGATCCTTTTATGTTTTTGAAGGGAACAAATCTAATTGTTAGAAATTTCTTAGTATTGAGGCAAAGTCCCCTTCTTTTAACATCCACATGTTGGACCTGCCCTTGGAACAACAGGGAAGTCGGTTATTTCTCCTCTGCCTCATCGAGGTCTGTCAGACACTTAAAGATCACTTCCTGTGTCTCTCCTCAGGTTTCTCTTACATAAGCCAAGTAATCTTGGTTGCTTGGAGCTTTTCTTCTGTGACAGGGCTCAAACTCTCTACTATTCCTTTGCTCTCCTCTGAGAATTCTGGTGTTTTGTCAGTGCTTCATCTAAAACACAGGGCCCAGAGTAGAACACAACACTCCATACACAGTAGAGCAGTGCAACATTATTCCATTGATTAGGACTCTGTGCTTGAATCTTAAAAGCCTGAGATCGCTTCAGCTCTACAGCAGTGATGTCCCATCTTGCATGCGTTCCCCTAAGGTACCCAGGTAGTATTTTTACATAGGTTGTGGTTAAACTAGCTCTCTCCTGTCATCTGCTGTGCAGTTGATTTTCTTTCATTGAAATATAGAACTTTCTAATTTTCCTGGTTCTGTTTCACCCTCATTTTGACCCATCTGTTTAGCCACTTATGATCATGTCATCCAGTGTGTCTTTGTGTTTCCCAGTTTTCGGTCACCTGGAGATTTTGAAGCATATTTTCCACATCTTCATTCAAGTTCTTGAATAACATCAAGAAAACAGAACCCGCACTCCATCCCCCACGTTAATCAGTGCCACTTCCAAGTGGTTCCCTTAACCACCATTCTGTCATCCATCTACAGCCCTTCATCTTATCTGCAAAGATCTCGTTTGCGCACTCAACAAATTTTTATTTAGCACCTGCCATGGCAAGAAGGTGCTAGACATACAGTGAAGACAGCAGTCTCTGTCTTCTAGAAACATCAAGAAGTATATTGTTAAATGCTTTGCAGAAATCAGGTTACACGATTCTCTATGATGTTCTCCTTATCTCGTACCATATCAGAAAAGGGAATGAAGCCTTATTTTTTGCACTCTGTATTGGCTGCTAATGATCTTATATCACCTGGAAAGGGTGACCATAGTCATTACCTTTCTGTCTTTGCCTTTCATGGTTTCACAGTAATGTTGAGCTTTGCAAGTCTCTGGAGTTCATCGATTCCTTTTCTTTTGGCTGTATCTTTCAAAGCCTTGGGCTCATTAGAGAGCAGCCTCTCTAGCCTCATTTTTGTTGTTGGTAGTGGTAAACGCTTCTTTTTTCCTCCCAAATTATCAGGATTCCTTTTGATTTTACAGTAAACTTAGTTATAAAGAATTTCCGTCCAACTTCAGCAATTTTCCCTTCCATAAGCTTTGTCACTCAGATTTTACTTTTATCTTGTATCAGTATTTTGAAATGCTCTTTCCTAAGGAAAATAGTTGACTATCCTCAGGTTATCTTCACTTCTTTGAGCCCATAGAGTGTCATAGTCACTTTTTCCAGAAGCCTGGTCCTTTTCACTTAAACTACTTCTTTCTTTTGGGGTGCCTGGATGACTCAGTCGGTTAAGGGACCGACTTCAGCTCAGGTCATGCTCTCGTGGTTTGTGAGTTCAAACCCTGCATCGGGCTCTGTGCTTAGAGCCTGAAACCTGCTTCAGATTCTGTGTCTCCCTCTCTCTCTGCCCTCGCCCACTCACACTCTGTCTCTCCTTCCTTCAAAAATAAATAAATATTTTTTTTTAAAAAACCTACTTCTTTCATTTTAATTCATCAGAATTAATCTCAGATGAGCATGAAGTTGCATTATGTTGTCTCTATGCTGAGGGATTAAACTATCAATAATAAGTTTGTTTTGTTTTGTTTTCGTTTTTAGAATGATGCAAAGAACAGATGTCCTACTAGTTCATGGAAGATAGCCCACCTGTCTTCCCAGGTGTGGATTCTCTTAGCAGTCAAGTGTCATCTGTACCCTTCCTTTGACTGGCTATTTCCCACAATTGTATCATTTCTACCTTCTTTTCTTTCCCCTTTGGTCCAGTGCTCTCCACTAGAGTGTCTTACTCAAAGTGTTGGATTTGCACAGAGATACTTATTTTTTTAAACAATTGTGAAGATTCTCTGCCTTTTTCTGTGGATCTGTCTCTATTGAAAAGCAGATTTCCTAAAGATGTTATAGTCTATTGTTACCTATTGTTATCCCATTCCACCAAGTCTTGGTGATTTCCATGAAATTTTATTTATTTCCTTGTTCTTTTTTACTATTGCTACTTTTAAGTATAGTGTCTAACACACTAATGTTCAATCAACAATATTTATGATTAATCTTAAGAAGTATTTGCCTTCTCTTTTAGGCTGTGAGGATATCATTGCTGAGAGCATCTCATTAGATACCTTAATTGCCATCCTCAAGTGGAGCTCTCATCCATATGGCTCTAAATGGGTGCACCGACAAGCTTTACATTTCCTCTGTGAGGAATTTTCCCAGGTCATGACTTCGGATGTTTTTTATGAACTCAGCAAAGATCATCTGCTTACTGCTATCCAGTCTGACTACCTACAGGTAATCATTTATACACCTCTCAAATTCATTGTCATCCATATGTGCACCAGAAAACCCATCTATATTCTATTCTCCCATCTAGGGAGATTGGCCCACCCAGGGATGCCCTCTTCAGATGTGTACAGGAAAAGCCTTCTGGCTCTCTGGCCCTTTGTGCCCCTGCTGCTATGACTCAGCAGTATGAATAAGCCCAGGTCCCAACCACCTACACCAAAGGGGTGGAGGCAGTAGGCAAGGTCAGAAGCATATCCCAACAGTGATTTTCTTGGCTTCCATTAATTCACTATAACAATTTATTGGTTTTCGTGGAGTATCAGATACTTAGACTGTAGACAGTAGCTTAAGCACACAGTAAGAGTAGTAGTATTCAATTTCTGATCCACTCAAATGCTTATAAAAACTCAGTGTGTGTGCCTTTCCCAAATACAATAATGTTTTCAACTATTTATTTTTAATCAGAAGTAGTTTTTAGCAAATTCTTGTGTCATTGACTCATATATGTCAATCTAATTTGGTAATTTAAACCAACAATAGGTTTAAAATATTGCAAAAAATACTTTCAAGTAACATATGTTCAAGTTTAATTTTTTTTGGCATTGGTTGTATGAATTTTATGCCGGAAACTATACAACAGTTTTAATGTTATAAAAACATAAACCCATTGAGCCATTTCCTCTTTCTTTATATTTGTACTAGGAAAATTGTAAAACTGCTTCCATCCCAGTCAGAAACTAAGCGCAGAGGTAAATAATCCACTTAGCACCTGTGATTTGATTGCAGTACAAATGTCGTAATTGGATTTGATTTATTTAGGATCTGTGTTCATTAACCTTGTTTCATTGTCCTGATCCAGACTGCGTACATTATGGGAGTTAGTTTATCAGGTCTTTCAGATTATTGTCTTTAGAAAGCTTTGCATTTCTGCTTATAAGGTAAAAACCTTTGAGAGCAGCTTAGATTTGCTCTAAGATTTTCAGTAAAGTGCAAAAAATGACAGGCACCTTGCAATTTCGCAGATTGTGCTTGAAGGGTCCTTCACCAGCCAGTAGCATACCGTGTGCAGATGGTAGTCTCTCTGCCAGAGCAGGTTGCCATTCCTGTTTTTTCTGTTCTTGCAGGAGATAGTAATCACTTGGTATCTGTACACTTTTAGTTTCATCTATTTATCTCCACCTTGTCCCAAAAAGAATTTAAGGCAGCTGTGTAGACACCATACAGAAGAAACAGTAAGTTTAAAATAGGTGAAGAGAATAGGATAAAGACGAACACAAGAATAAAAGATTTAGTTGGAGCCAAGAGGTAGGTTACTGGACAGAACCCATGCAGAGTGGTCTTGTGTGTTTGGTGTTGGTAGACCACAGCTTTAATGGAACATTTCAAACAGCCAGTGTATAGTGAAATGTGGCTAAGTTGTGCACCGTGTACATTATCACCTAGGTGCAGTCATTATGAAATTTGCCATTTATCTAATTTCGCTAAAATAAATCGAAACCATTTTTTTTATTATAGGCAAGTGAACAAGATATCCTTAAATATCTGATTAAATGGGGTGAGCATCAGTTGATGAAAAGAATAGCTGACAGAGGTAAGCTCAGAAAATTAGCTTATACTATAAGTTTTTTTTACCCAGAAGTATACTGTGTATCAGTCTTGACAGTAGCCACTATTGCCTGGTGAAAATAGAAATTTTTAGTGGAGAAGAGTACACTTTGTTAGAAATAAATATACCAGAGGGGCGCCTGGGTGGCTCAGTCGGTTAAGCGTCCGACTTCGGCTCAGGTCATGATCTCACAGTTCATGAGTTCAAGCCCCACATCGGGCTCTGTGTTGGCAGCTCAAAGCCTGGATCCTGCTTCAGATTCTGTGACTCCATCTTTCTCTGCCCCTTCCCTGCTTGTGCTCTGTCTCTTTCTCTCTCAAAAATAAATAAACATTAAAAAATTTAAAAAGAAAGAAAGAGAAAGAAATATACCAGAAAATTTTGTTTTACAACTTTAAAGCGTACTTTTAATGTTACCTCTCTATGTGCTTAATAATACATGGAGTATTATATACCAATTTATAGAAGTATTAGAATGAAATTTTTATTTAATGATTAAAATATTACCAAAGCATATTGTTGGTGGAAATGTTCGGGAATTAGATAGCGGTGGTGTGTGTGTAACATTGTCTACACTGGGGACACCTGGGTGGCTCAGTTAGTTAAGCCTCTGACTCATGATTTCAACTCAGGTCATGATCTCAATGGTTCATGAGTTGGAGCCCCACATCAGGCTCTGTGCTAACAACGCAGAGTCTGCTTGGGATTCTCTTTTTCTACTTTTCTCTCATATATATATATATATATATATATATATATATATATATATATACATATATATATATACCACTCTCTTCCATATATATATATATATATATATATATATATACATATATATATATACATATATATATATATATATATATCACTCTTTCTTCTCCCTCTGCTCTTCATATATATATATATATATATACATATACTCTCTTATATATATATATACATATATAACTATATATATATATATATATATATACATATATATATATATCCTCTCCTCTCTCCTCTCCTCCTCTCTCCTCTCCCTCTCCTCTCTCCTCTCACTCTCCTCTCTCCCTCTCTCTCTCCCTCTCTCTCTCCCTCTCTCCCTCCCCCCATTCCATGCCTCTATAAATGCATGTGTGCTCTCTCTCAAAATAAATAAACATACATTTATTTTATTTTTTTATTATTTATGTTTTTTTTTGAGGCATGGAAAGAGACAAGTGCAGTAGAGGAGGAAGAGAGACAGGGAGACACAGACCCGAGAAGCAGGCTCCAGAACGCGTGTACCTAGAGCCCATGTCGACGCGATGTTCACTAAGACTGTGGACATGACCATTAACTGGTGATATTGCTTAGGTTGATGCTGACCTGACAGGCCTCCTAAATAAAAACACATTTAAAAAATTCTGTTGGGGGCCATGGCTAGGCGGATCGATGCGTCCGATTCACCAGGTCACGCGATCTTCTGCGGTGAAGTTCACCTCTGCGTCAGGCTCTGGTGATAAGTCTGCCTGGGCCTTGACTGTATTTGTCTGTTCCTCCTCTCTGCCCCTCTCCCTCATGCTCTGGTCTCTCTCTCTTCAAAATAAATAGTGGAAAAAAAAAATTTATAAAAAAAAAATTTGAATTGTTTTTTTAGAAAAAACTTTTGTATATATTAAGTAGCCACTTAGAATTATGCACTTTACATGATGCGAATGAAGAATGGCACCTCGGCGTCAGTTCAGACTGTCGATTTAGGTTTGAGCTTCATCATGATCTCACTTGAACTAGAGTTCCAGACCCCTGCATCAGGATCAGTTCCTAGGCCTCTTCGGATTCTCCATCTCTCTCTCTCCTCTCTCTCCCTCCCTCCACACTCCCCCTCCTCCCTCCCTCCCCTCCTCCCTCTCCTCTCCTCTCTAGCCCACTCCCTGGCTTCCCTGCCCCCTAACATCATGCTAGTCTTTTCCCAAAATTTTTAAAAAAAAAAAAAAAAGGTTAAAATGGTTAGTTTTATGAGCAGTGTGAATTTTACCTCAACAAAAAAAGATAGGACTACCTCCCAAAAAAGCCTAATGTGTTGTTTGTTTTTAAATTTGTGTGAAGATGGAAGAAATCACTGCTTAGAATGAGTTCCATCTAGGGATACTGCAGAAGAGATGGAAACATCAACATGCTCCTTCCCTCAAAGAGTGTTGTGTTCCTCTATATAGCAAACCCAAATCAAAACATTTTTTTCAAAACATTTTAATTTGGAAAAATACAGATTTCCCTTTCCTGTCATTTTTTGATGGCTGTATCTAATTAGATATACTTTACATATCATGAAGTTCACTTATTTAAAGTGTTCAAGTCATGATTTTTAGTGCACTTACAGAGTTGTTCTGTCACGTTTTAAGGCAAGCTAAGCCTGCCTTTCACAACCTCTTATTTTTCCTAATTTATTTTTCTGTGGCCTACTTGAGCCATTAGCAATTCTCAGATGTGATTGTTTCTAAGTTTTTATCTGTTTTGGGAGAGAATCCCACGCTGAGAAGGGAGAGAGAGAATCTCTGCACTAACAGTGCAGAGCCCAATGTAAGACTTGAACCCATGAACCATGAGATCATGACCTGAGCCGAAGTCATGTGCCTAATCGACTGAGCCACCCAGGTGCCCCATCAGATGTGAATGGTTTTTTATATTAAAACCACTACTATTAATGTGGGACTTTTTGAAATGCCAGTATACCATCTGTCCTTCTTATTTGCAGGTTCTATATTTGCAAATTCAGCTATCTGCTAAAATTTATTTACAGCCTCAAAATCAGTACCTACAGCACTTTCACGGTCATTTGCAGACATGCTCAGAGTGACAAAAATTTTGAGTTCTCTGTTGCACATGTTCCCAGCTTAAGGTGGAACCGAATGACACTGTGCCTTCTTATTGAAGTTCTCACACTGCAAACAAGGTTCTTTTCACAGTCTGTTAAGGGCCATGTTTTTCATATTTTATGGGGGTGTGATCTCACTGATCACAATGGCTTCCAAGTGTAACTTTTAGTGCTGTGTAGTGTCCCTAAGCAGAGGAAGGCTGTGATGTGCCTTACAGAGAAACTATGAGTTAAACAAGCTTCATTCAGGTATGAGTGACAGTGCTCTCAGCTATGATTCAATGTTAATAAATCAGCGATATATATTAATAAGGTGTCTTTAAACAGAAACATACATTTAAAAAAAGGTTATGTCTTGATCAGTTGACAAAATTGTTGGGACCACAGGCTCACAGGAACCTAACCATGTGTTTTCCCTTAGGAGCAGTGGTTCAATATTTACAAAGTGTTTACAATGACTCTATAGAATATGACTACTACAAATAATAAGAATAGATTGTATATAATTCTTCATAATCATTGTAGGCCATGGGTTTGTTCACTGATGCAAGGTTGGTAATGATGAAATGTCATATTTATTTTGGGCAGATAATGAGCATCCTTGATAAAATTTCCCTTAATTTTTTTTTAATTTTTTTTTGAGAGAGAGAGCACGTGAGCAGGGGAGGGGCAGAGAGGGAAGGAGATACAGAATCCAAAGCAGGCTCCAGGCTCTAAGCTGTCAGCACAGAGCCCAACATGGGGCTTGAACTTGTGAACCATGAGATCATGACCTGGGCTGAGGTCAGACATTCAACCAACTGAGCCAGCCAGGCACCCTGATAAAATTTCCCTTAAAATAGTAGTTTTCAGGCCAGGTTAGAACGGAAGACTCTTTCACAGGGATGAGAATGAGAAGGAACCTAAGCAAACCAGGCTGCACCTTTTAGTCACCTTTATATTTAATGGTTCTGCCCTTAGCTGTGATGTATTTGGGAGTCTTCTCTAAGATTTCATGGCACGACTTTAAGGGGAAATTTTCTTTTTGAAAAGCAATGCTTTGTGTAAGTATGAAGCCAAATCATAGCAAGGCAAGGGAAAAAAACCCTTTTTTCCACATGCTTGCAACAGTTTTATTGAATGATGCCAGAAAAAGCTTAGCTTTTCAAAAATAATTATTTCTTTATCTCTCTATCCATCTGCCTATCACATGATTTAAAGGAAATGCCTGTTTGCTTATAGAGTATTTGCAAAAAGGCAGCATTTATATTTGTGAATGATAAAGATCTTGTTTTTTAAGAAAAATACAGTCCCTAGATTATAGACATGATCACATATTCCCAAAATTTAATTTTTCTTTTTACCTCAGTATCATGAGGTTATGTGTACTCCAGATCTTCCCCTTTCACTGATACCTAATGAAGAAAACCTTGACTCTCTGCTCTGGACGGTGGAAATATATTGCATGTCAGAGATCAAAGGGTCAGTTTTTGCAGTAACATTCCCACAGTAAGAAACTTAGGAGACTATCCTAGAAATCAGAGTTCAATACAGTGTACATTAGGTTTTGCTGCTTTAGATACCAGGTAATTAATATCTTGTTAAGTTGCTGGTAAACATATGGTAGCCTAATGAGCACACTGATAACCTACAGTGACCAGAAATACCACTTGCCCTGTAGTGCCCTTAATTGGACTAAAAACTGGTCACAGCAATGAGAAAGCTTAAAAAAAAGCCCTTGGTCAAACTAGATTTTAATAGATTGTCCTCTTTTCTCCTTTGAATTAGTATATGGAAAATAATTCTTTATTCCTTAGTGCAAAACAATCAAAAAAAGTTATCCTAAAAGTTGACATCATGCTTTTGCTTTGCCGGAGAACATCTCTGTTAAAGGTATTAAGACAAAAAAAAAAATTTATAATCCTTTTTAAAGCAGATGCACCTAAGTATAAAGAGTGTTACTGAAAGCGTACTAGAGAGAAAAGTTTGAATATTTGGATTTGGTTGGAGACTTCTCATTTTCTGTCTCATAGAGCCAAACTTACTGAGTGGCACTGCCCACAGTGTGAACAGAAGAGGCGTAAAAAGACGAGACCTGGACATCGAAGAGCTCAGAGAGATCCTTTCTTCTCTCTTACCTTTTGTGCGAATTGAACACATCTTACCTATAAACAGTGAAGTCCTCAGTGATGCAGTAAGTGTCTTTCTTCATTCATCCCTTTCATGAAAAGAAAATGTACCAAAATGTACAGGCTTATCTTTTTTTTTAATCATCATACATAATTTCTACTAATAAGAGTACCGTGAAACTGTGAAGTCCACGAGGACAGAGACAGACGTGTTTTGTACCATGTCATGTCCCCAGTGTTGGCCACTGGCACAGTTAAAGGTTGGGTGAATGAGGGTTAAGTGGGGATAGCAGTCTCACTTTTTCAAGAGGATAGTCTCCAGGGGAAGTTACTTCAGCCATTTATCAGCGTAGATCAAGTAGATCCTTATTCACAAAGGAAAGGGTAGAAATTACCTTTGGAGACTTTTCAAACACAGCAATATATCAGGGAGCAGGAAGGAAGGAGATTGGTTCAGTGTGAAAAGGATGATAGAATCTTCTGATTGTACTTTAAAGATTAATGGAGCTGATCATGTTACTTTCATAATTTTTTCAAAGTGAATTTTTTAAACCAGTAATTGCTTGAATTAATGGATGTGAAAAATAAATATTATAAATATTGTATACAAATTGGCTTATAACGTTAGTGCATTGTTTATAGACATAGTTTTTTCAACTGCTCAGAAACATAAAAGTCATCTGGAAAAAACCCAATAAGAATTTTTTTCCATTATATACAAATGTTTTATTTTTTTAATTTTTTTTCTTTCCAAGTCTTTATTTAAATTCCAGTTAGTTAACATACAGTGTAATGTTAGTTTCAGGTATAGAATTTAGTGATTCATCACTTACTACCAACACCCAGTGCTCCTCACAATCAGTGCCTTCCTTAATTCCCATCACCTATTTCACCCCCACTCACATCCCCTCCAGTAACCGTCCGTTTGTTCTCTGTAGTTAAGTCTGTTTCTTGATTTTCCTCCCTTTTTCCCCCCCTGCTGTTTGTTTGTTTGGTAAGAATTTTTTTTTTAAGTTCTCTCAAAAGAACATAATGAAGAAAGGATAACTCTTCCAGAATTTAAAATACATTATAAAACTCAAGGGGCGCCTGGCTGGCTCAGTTGGTAGAGCATGCGACTCTTGATCTCAGGGTCCTGAGTTAAAGCCCCATATTGGGCCTAGAGCTTACTTTAAAACAAAATAAAACAAAACAAAACAATTTAGATATTTAATCTGTGATGATAGAAAAACAGACGAGACAAAATAGCTGGGAAAAAGATCCTAATTAATACATAAGAGCTAAACATAGGTGAGCCTAGGTGGCTCAGTTGGTTAAGCGTCAAACTCTTGATTTCGACTCAGGTCATGATCTCACAGTTTCGTGAATTTGAGCCCTGTGTTCGGCTCTGCACTAACAGAGCGGAGCCTCTTTGGGATTCCCTCTCTCCCTCTCTCCCTCTCTCCCTCTCTCCCTCCTTCCCTCCTTCCCTCCCTCCCCCCCTCTCTTGCTCATTCTCTGTCTCTTTCAAAATAAATAAATTTTAAGTTAGAATTAAACATATAATAATCTATCAGAAATCAGTGAATCATTGTGGTGCTAGACTAGCTGATGAGCTGGGGGAAATTTGTTTAAAGTTAAACCCTCATTTCACTTGCACACAAAATTAATCCCTGTTAGATTGAAGAATTAAATATTAAATCGAAATATGGAAAAACTAGAAGGAAATGATTAAATATTTATGGTATTTCTGATTAGAAAAAATGGTCAGTCTCACTAGTAATCACACACACCAAAGAAAGCAAAATAAAGCCATAAGTTACCATTTTTTTCACCTATTAAGTCAATAATTTTTGAAATAATATTACCATCCCGTAGGGGAAGCATAGCTGGTACATTAGTAACATTGTCCTTAAATATTTGGAAATAGCTTAAATGTCTAATAACAGAAAAAAATAAAAGTAAACTATAGTATGACTACTCAAAAGAGTATTTTGCTGCCCTGAACAATAGTCATAAAGACTAATACAGCAACATGAAAAATGTTAATGGAATATAATTTTAGAAGTATACAAAATAATGCATTTTTATGTATTCTAGAATTCAGTTCTGTAAACATCCATTTGAAAAATACTGGCAGGAAATATATCAGCATTATTATGGTTGAAATAGGGTTACGAGTTTTTGCCTGTTTCCTAAATACTATCTAATGCTATATTTTATTAGTTAAAAATAATTTTAACTAATGCAGCAATTAGACATTTATTATATTTAATGAGATTAATATTGGAGAAACGATGTTTGATTTTGTTTAAAACCTAGGACACAAAACCAAATTGAACTCTGAATTTGGTTTAGAAAAATACTTTAGAACTTTGGTTTAGTAGAGTGAGAAAATACCTATTTCTGGGATGCCTGGGTGGCTCAGTCAGTTAAGTGTCTGACTTCAGCTCAGGTCATGATCTTGCGGTTCATGAGTTCAAGCCCCGCAACGGGCTCTGTGCTGACAGTTCAGAGCCTTGGAGCCTGCTTCGGATTCTGTGTCTCCCTCTCTCTGCCCCTCTCCCCATTCGCACTCTGTCTCTCTCTCCCTCAAAATAAATAAACATTAAAAAAAAATTTTAGAAAATACCTATCCCTGTTCTTAATTCCATGCTTCATGCCTGAGTCCCCAGTGAAAGTTTGCTAGTCCTGCTGTTAAAACCTTAAAACACTCCTAGTGTGTGTGGAGTGCTTTTACCTCATGACCGCCTCACAACCACCTTAGGAGCTATAGGTACTTGATTTATTTTCTCCCAGCATAGACATGGAAACAACAGGGCTACCACATATAGATGTGCAGTGTTCCATCTCCAGGGCCATCTAGAAGCCCTTAAAGTGAAGCTCAGATAAAAGGACATGTCTGCGGGGGCACCTGGGTGGCTCGGTCAGTTGGGCATCCGACTTCGGCTCAGGTTCCTGAGTTCAAGCCCCATGTGGGGCTCACTGCTATCAGTGCTGTCAGTGGTGTTAGCCGGCTTCAGATCCTCTGTCCCCCCTCTCTGCCCCCCCCCCCCCCGCTTGTGCTCTCTCAAAAATAAAACATTCAAAAAACAAAAAGGGACATGTTTGTGGTCATGCAGCTGTTAAATGGGGAGTTAGGGGTTTGTGTCAAGTCTTCCTTCCCCTAGAGCTCCCGCCCCTAACCACCATGCAGACTGCCTGTCTCCTTGTACTGTAGATCTAGGCCCAAGATCTTCCTTTGTCTTTTGGGGGGAGGGGGGAGGATGGAATCCATGTCTAGATGAGTAAGGAAAAAAATAGAATTTGGTTTTCATTAAAAGTTCTGAAAACTAGTCCAGCTCATTATATTTGTAATTATTATAGCTCTTCTTTTAAAAACATCTTTCCTCTGTATAGAGAAAAGTGGTAAATTGTAGTACCTTTTTATTGCTGAATTTTTGACATATTGTTAAACATTAGGAGTATTTTGAAATTTAACATCTATTCCTAAATTTTTGTGATTTATAGGTATAATTATTTATCTTAGTAATATTCTAGTTCACTCAAATCTCTAGTTCATCTAAAAAAAATTTTTTTTTCCAAGATGAAAAGAGGCTTGATTAGTACTCCTCCATCAGATATGCTTCCTACAACAGAGGGTGGAAAGTCAAATGCCTGGTTACGGCAAAAAAATGCTGGAATATATGTTCGTCCTCGGCTGTTCTCTCCATATGTGGAGGAAGCAAAGGTAATGAAAATCATTTTAAGTTATTAGAGTGCCTTTTATGAACTATAATTTGTGCTTATAAGCACAAAGATATTCATTGTGGCATTGTAAAAAATATTTAGAGATAGCCTAAATATTTGATAATAGGGAAAGTGAAAGTAAACTCTAGTTTACTCACCAGAATAGTTTTCTGAAATGTTTAATTATCAAGCATGTCTTTATAACTTAGTTTATTTTAAATTGCATTTTACATTTTTCTTATCTTAGTTGTGTTGCAAATTGTTAATTTAGAAAAAAATTAATTTTACGGAGATGATTGTCAGATATGTGATCTTCAAGATGGGAATAATGTTCTGAAAAGATTGCACACATTTTGTCTTTCTTAAACTAAAGAAATGACACAATTTCTTGCAAAATGCTTCTGTAATGGCTTCTGGAAATTATATTTTAGTTTCAGAATATGTACATAAAACTAAGACAGTTTCAGGCTTTCTAAGTAAATTATGTATTATAATATGAAGAACTCCAAGAAAATATGGTAATGTGAAAATGGAATACTGTGATTTTTATTAGCTGTATTTAGCCATGAGAACTTTGAGACAGCCTTTTGAGGAACTGGCACTCTTTGATAGTCAGAAATCACCATTAAGCTTTCTGAAACAAATTAACAGGGAAAGCATTGTTTGGGTATAGAATTAAGTTATCTTAAATTTTTTCTTTTTTTGATTGTCGGAGTTCCTAACTTAAGATATGTGAAAGGATTGTGAGAAGTTAATTTTATTGACTAGATCGATAATCTATCTCTTACTGAGTAGTTGACACTTAAATAGTCTAAAATCGGGAAAAAAGCATAATGGTTGGGTCTCGTCTTTCAGAAGTAAGTTCAGTACTTAACAGCACACAAGTATCACAGCCTTTACCAGGGTTGCAGCTGATGATAAAAGGTCTGTAATAAACTACCTCGTACTCGGCTCTGTCTCAGAATGGGGCAGCAGGGAGCTGATCAGATAGTCCTCCTGGGACTTCCCTGTTCCCAGATGGCTGTACCCACACTTGATAGATAATTGCCCTCAGTAAATGTGGAAAAGGTTTATACATTACTTCATTTTGGACATTCTGCAGTTGAAATTCATCTGAAACTAACTTAACAATTGGGTTTATATATAGATCTGTTGAATTTAAAGTTGATCTTCAGTATTTTATATTTTGAACATTTCTTGTTGGATCTGATATTTAGCCCATGTACACCTTGTTTTCTTTATAGTAACTTTAGATATAAATTACTTCTGATTGGTTTTATACCTTCCTTCAAATTTCAAATACTTCAATTAAAAGCAAATTTTTCAGAAGGTGATTATTTCAAAGATGCTGCAGAAATATTTTTTAAAAATTAAAGAGGTTGGGACGCCTAGGTGGCTCAATTGGTTAAATGTCCAACTCTTGGTTTCCGCTCAGGTCATGATCTCACGGTTGTGAGTTGAAGCCCCACATTGGGTTCTGTGCTGACAGTGTGGAGCCTTCTTGGGATTCTCTCTCTCCCCCTCTCTCTCTGCCCTCCCCACTCGTTCTATCTCTCAAATAAACTTCAAAAAAAAATTTTTTTTAAGAGCTTTTAAAAAAAATTAAAGAGGTAAAGGGGCTCCTGGGTGGCTCAGTCAGTTAAGTGTCCGATTCTCGATCTCAGCTCAGGTCTTGATCTCAGGGTCGTGAGTTCAAGCCCCGTGTTGGGCTCCACACTGGATGTGATGCCTACCTAAAACAAACAAACAAACAACAAAATTAAAGAAATAGGAGTTCTTTCTCCTTTCATTATTTTTTTTTTTAATTTTCTTTTAATGTGTTTTTTTTTTATTTATTTTTGAGACAGAGAGAGACAGAGCATGAACGGGGGAGGAGCAGAGAGAGAGGGAGACACAGAATCGGAAGCAGGCTCCAGGCTCTGGGCCATCAGCCCAGAGCCCGACGCGGGGCTCGAACTCACGGACCGTGAGATCGTGACCTGAGCTGAAGTCAGACGCTTAACCGACTGAGCCACCCAGGCGCCCCTCTCCTTTCATTATTTTAAAGCTTCATACACTGGAAACAATAAATTACTTCCCGTTTTATATGCTGAAGGTAATAATCTTTCTCCGGATGTGATTTACAGAGATGGTTGACTGATACTCTTCATATTGAATTGTTCTTTCAGTCAGTGCTGGACGAGATGATGGTGGAACAAACAGATCTTGTGCGTTTGCGAATGGTTAGGATGTCCAATGTGCCAGACACGCTTTACATGGTTAGTACCGCCGTGCCACAGTGCTGTCACATGATGAGCCACCAGCAGATCAGCAGTCACCAGTCAAGCCCTCCTTCAGTCGTAGCCAATGAAATTCCAGGTGAGGCAGTAGCCTTCTGTCAGGCATTTATATTTAAATGAATAATCTGATCATTTTTGTAGCCTTTTTTATATGTGCTCATTCTCTCAGCTTTCCAAAATTCATTACTCATTGTTTTCATAATAAGCTCGGTTTTTTGTTTCATATTTTATTTTCCAGTAACAGGTGTATACAGGTTTTCCGGTTAGCACAGAGTTTCTCAACCTAAGCTGTCTTGACATATGCTTTGTTGAGGAGGCTATCCTGTGCACTGTGGGGTGTTCAGCAGCATCCCTGATCTGCACTCACTAAATGCCAGTAGCATGCACACACACACACACACACACACACACACACCTTTGTGACAACCCTTTGAAAACATTTTTATGTTTCTAGACATTGCTAAATGTGCCCTGTGGGGCAAAATCGCTTCCTGTTGAGAACCACTAGTTCAAAGGAATTCAGATTTTTCATCACCATAAAGCATTTCTCACAGAAGACTCTTTGAGTTATAAACTTGTATCTTTTGAGTCTAGACATGTCCCCTGAAATGTTATCACTGTTGGTTTCCTAGAGATCCATCCAGCTTCCCAGGATCTGCTCTGTGAATTCTGTTGGTAGTGCAGGCTTATGTGATGACTTTGAGGAAATCGACCATAGATTGAGATATAACTGTTATATCCAAAATTTTCTGAGCATGAGGTGATGTTGACTTTAACCAAAGGGCTCTAGTGTCCATCTTTAAGGTAAGAAAATGCACAGTGATCTGGGGGGTCAGAGATTTACAGCTCTTGCCAATTACTACTGCAAAATTCAAACACATTGCAAACTGTATAGCGTTATTAGAAATACCCCATTCAGGTGCCTGGGCATCTGACTTTGGCTCAGGTCATGATCTCACGGTTTGTGAGTTTGAGTCCTGCATCCAGTTCTGTGCTGATAGCTTGGAGCCTGGAGCCCGCTTTGGATTCTGTGTCTCTCTCTGTCTCTCTGCTCCTCCCCTGCTCACTCTCTGTCTCTCTCTCCTTCAAAAATAAATAAACATTTAAAAAAATAAATAAATAAATAAAAAGGAAAAGAACTAGCCCCATTCATTTTCTGCTTATATTGTTTTAATTAAGGATAAATTTTAAAAAAATAACAACTTTTAATTGAGCACATTTTATTCTGGGACTAATGTCTGATCAGTTGTTGGCCTTATCAGATTTGGCCACTAGTGACAAAATACTGACTATCATTTATTTAAAGTATACATTAGACAACAGTATGAAGAGAAATGTTTCTGTAGCTGATTTATGCAGATATTGAAGCTACAGTAATTAGCCGGTTTTTATCAGCTCAAATTAATACAATTAAATAGCATAATTTAATCTTAGAACTGAATCTAAAAAGCCCAAAGACATTCACAATTAAGTACATTCAGAAGAGTAGGACTTGCCTTTCTTGTCTTGCTTTAACAAGACCTGGTCCTGTTCTGGTGTTATCTGATACTTCCCTCTTCCTAGCCCACCACACTCTAAGGAAGGCCATGTAGCTTATTGGAGAAGACTCATGGGCTCATATCCTGGCTCTGCCACTTTTATGTGACTTTGGGTAAGGTTACTTACTTAGCATTAATTTCTTCATCTGAAAAATGGATATAATGTCTCCTTTCTAGTGTTGTTAATGAAGATTCAAGGAAGTCCCATGAGTAAGATGCTTAGGAGTGTGCCTGGAACAAAGTAAGCACTCAGTAAATGGTCGCTCCCTTTCCCCAGAAATAATAACCAGTGGCTACTTTAGTCAGTTTGTCTCTTAGATATAGAAGACTCCATCCTTGACTTCCCACCCTCTCCTATAGCCTTAGTCTAGGTTCCCAATTGGTGTTCCTGCCTGTAACCTTACTCCCATTCTGGCCTTTACACCAGGACTTGGCAAACATTTTCTGGAAAGGCCATTTGGTAGATATTTTAAGTTTTGTGGGCCATGCAGTCTCCATCACAACTACTTAACTCTCTTGTCAAAAGCAACCTCAGACAATACGTAAACAAATAGGTGTAGTTGTGTGCCAGTACAACTTTATTGACAAAACAGGCAGCAGGCTTGATTCAGCCTACAGGCCGTAGTCTGCCAACCCCTGCTTTACACTGTTCTCAGAGCACGCTTTCTGTCACTGCCCTGATCCTGTCCTTCCTTCCCCTGCACAAGGGAGTACCTGTTGTTCACAACATAGAATTTAAATTCCTTATCGTAATATGCAGGCTCATTCGTGATCTGTTCCTACCCATCTTTCTCGCCTTCTCTCTTAACACTACTCCTGCTTGTACCTATGAACCCTGAGTTCGCTAATGCTGCCAGCTGCTTGTGCCATACTGTCACCTGCGTGTTTGACACATGCCTTGTCCTTCTGCTCGAGACACATACCTTCACTCTGCTTTCTTTACCTGCCTGGTTTTTCTCTCATTCTTCAGGACTCCACTCAAGATTCCCCTCCTCCAGGAAACCTCTCTTGCCTGCCTCCATCTGAGGTGGGCCCTTCCTCCACGTCCCGTCAGCATCCTTCACATGTTTGCCTTTGTGACCACTTAGGGCCTGTGCTCTACTGCTTTACTCAGTTTACTTCACTAAAACTAGAGCTCTTCGAGGACAGGGATCATATCTTTGATTCTGAGCACCCCAGTACCCAAGCCCAATACCTAGCACATAACCAGGACTCAGAAACTTATTTGAATAAAAGAATGAATATATTTAAAAGATTTCTGAAATGCCCTGAGATGTAGAAGAGAATATATGCAAGTAAAATTTTAGTTAGGTTGTGAACTAAGAAGACAGTTCAATAACTGTTTCGTATTATCAGCAGCGTTTTGAGCACAGTGAAATTTTATTAAAACTTTAAAAAATAATTAGAAGCACATAAATTAGTATTTTCCAGGAAATTAAAATTCTAATGCAGAACAACACAGGCCTTCTTGCTTGTGCTCAGTGGGGGACCTTTGATGCAGCTCAGATATTTTGCCTACAGAGTGTTTTTCTTTTTTCAGTTCCTCGTCTCCTCATTATGAAAGACATGGTTAGACGTCTGCAGGAACTACGGCACACTGAGCAGGTGCAGAGAGCCTATGCACTCAACTGTGGGGAAGGCGCCACGGTCAGCTATGAAATTCAAATTCGAGTGTTAAGAGAGTTCGGTCTTGCAGACGCGGCTGCAGAGCTCTTGCAGGTGGGGATGGCATTCGACTGTGTGAAATAGGGAGCCTGTGCAGATGGTATTTCAGACATTCCAGGAGCCCTCCCAGCACGCATCTGCTGCTTAGTGCATGCCCTTTCACTGCCTCATGGGTCTGGGATAGCCTGGAAGTCCCCCCTGGCTAGAGGCGGGGTGTGGAGTAGATGGAGCACATGGGCTCTGGTGGGAGAGCTGAAGTTATAGCTTGGCTCTGCTGCTCACCAGTTAGCTTGGGCCACTTAACCACTCCCAAGTATCAGTTTCCTTACCGATAAAGTGGATGTTGTGAAGACAAGAGGTGCTGTATGTAAGCAGCTATGTCTCTCAATACCTAGTAGGCCTGCTAAAACTTAATGGTGTGCATGCCCATCAAAGGTGAAAGAGGAAGCAGAGAATTCTGACCTTCCACTGCTCTCTGCCCCTCGTTGGGTCTCTAGGTTTCGGGTTGTGGCCTACTACCAGACGTAACAGGTCCTCCAGATGCCCCTCTTATTCCTCTCCCCTCCTCTTCCGTATAATAAGAAATTTTTTGCATGATGTTGCAAATCCTATAAGCACGAGAATCAAAAACTGAATGTGGGGTTTTTTTTGGTTTTTTTGTTTGGTAACCAGCATGGGGAAAAAAACTCCCTTGTTACCAAGTACAGGAACAGGAGCAGGAGTGTTGGTTTTGCAGTGAAGGAAGAATGTGTAAAGTAGTCTGCTCACAGCCACTAAATCAGAACCTAAAGTAAAATTTAATTTTGTCTGGCCAAGTGATTGAATTTTTCTTGCCACTGACTCTAGACTTGTTTAGCTGGAGTCTTCAAAAGGGAATGTGGTGTGATGTTCTTAGGCAAGGGAGCAGGCCACTTATAGGTTCTTGATTTTCTTTTTTTTGCTGTGGATTCCATCCATGAAATAGTCTTGTATACTATACATTTCTTTCCCCCTTGACATTCTAAACTGTATCTTAATTTGGTATCTTAAATTGCATTAAAGTTTTACAGATTAAGTATTCTTACGTAATGTTTATCAAAATGCTCATAAAACTGAGTTATATGTAATAGGTAAGGATTAGTATTTTATAGTTTTTATTTCAGACAGAGTGCAGATGTTTTGTAAGAAAGTTCTAGGAGGATCTTTACTTGTATGCCTTTTTGTCCTTTGGTATTTAATTTTATTTTCTCAGCAGAGACTCATTTGAATTAGGTTTTATTTCCTGCTTTTGCATTATCACATAATCTTGCAGGAGATTACCAACCTGCTTGCTGAAATATTTAGTTAAGCTGTTCTCCTTGATAGCTGTATCTTAGGCTATAGAGACTCCACTCTATCCTTTTGTGCTGTTATTAAGGTAAATTTTTCTTGGGCTTCTGGCCTAGAGAAATAATGTTGTGCCTTTTACTCTTGCTGAATGTGGTTTTCTTAGGATCTCACTTAATGCTCTCAGCCTGTAAATTTCTATCTAGAAAATTTGCTGATAAATGTCTTGTTTGTTTAAATCTTTCAGAATCCTCACAAGTTCTTTCCGGATGAACGTTTTGGGGATGAAAGTCCGCTTTTGACAATGAGACAGTCTGGGAGATGTCGAGTTAACAGTACCCCCACTGCAGAAACCATGTTTACAGATCTGGACTCTTTTGTGGCCTTCCATCCACCCTTGCCCCCACCGCCACCTCCGTACCACCCCCCAGCGACCCCAATCCATAACCAACTCAAAGCAGGCTGGAAACAAAGACCTCCCAGCCAGCATCCTTCACGTTCATTCTCTTATCCCTGTAATCATTCACTGTTTCACTCCAGAACGGCCCCTAAAGCCGGCCCCCCTCCCGTCTACTTGCCAGGTGTTAAAGCAGCAGCACCTGATTGCACCAACACCACAGGACTGGGGAGACAGACTGTGGCCACCGCCGCCACCGCCACCACCTCAGCAGCAGTAACTTCTGAGAAACAAGTGGTAAGTTAACATCTCACTAATTTAGGGCAAATAAAATGTTCATGGAATATGAGAGGCAGTTTCCAAGAGCCCTAGTGGGACTCAGCAGTGCCCAGAAGTATTGCCACCAAGCCGAAAGCATGGACTCCAGGACTATGGAGAGAGGGAGGTAAGGCCAAGTGAGAAGACAGGAAGAGAGGGTGTGTGGGGAGGGTGGTTGGCACCTTCCTTGTCTTTGTGTTCATTGTAGGTACTTAGAAGGGATGATGTTACTGGGCAGTGCCACTGGATGCTCTCGGTTTCACGATGCTCCATTCAAACACATGTCTAGAATCTGCCCTAGCTTCTCTTCTATAGAATCTGCTCTTCTACCAAATGCTTTGATGGGGTAGGAAAGGAAAGTTATTTATAGCTAAGTGTACTGTCAGGAGCAATGTGGCAGAAGACTCCCCATTCAGAAAGTAGATGGATGATCGGTCCTCATGCCTGTGTCGGCGTCTGGCAAGCTCTTCCATCAGGAGGCTCATTTGACTAGGAACCACAGTAGCTAGCGTTAATAGCTAGTAAATTAAGCGAGGACCTTGCTCAGTTTGGCACTGAATAAAAGGTTGAATTTCTGTTTATATAATACCTTTGAAACAAAATAGTGATTTTTAAGTCCTTCTGCTCAGTCACACATTATCAGTGGCCTTCAATAGAAAAACAAAAGAGGGGTGCCTGAGTAGCTCAGTCGGTTGGGTGTCCGACTTTGGCTCAGGTCATGACTTCATGGTTTGTGAGTTCGAGCCCTGCGTCAGGCTCTGTGCTGACAGCTGAGAGCCTGAAGCCTGCTTTGGATTCTGTGTCTCCCTCTCTCTCCTCCCCCACATGCACTCTGTCTCTGTGTCTCTCAAAAATGAACAAACGTTAAAGAAAAAAATTAAAAAAAAAAAAAGAAAAACAAAGGATACATATATTAATTCAGGGAATCTTTATTAAAATACGGCTTTTGGAGGTGCGCCTGGGTGGCTCTGTCGGTTGAGCGTCCAACTTCGGCTCAGGTCGTGATCTTGCAGTTCGTGAGTTCAAGCCCCGTGTCAGGGTCTGTACTGACAACTCAGAGCCTGGAGCCTGTTTCGGATTCTGCGTCTCCCTCTCTCTCTGCCCCTCCCCCGCTTGCACTCACTCTCTCTCAAAAATGAATCAACATTAAAGAAAAAAAATTAAAAAAAAAAAAAAGGATACATATATTAATTCAGGGAATCTTTATTAAAATATGGCTTTTGGAGGGGTGCCCGGGTGGCTCAGTCAGTTGAGCGTCCGACTTCGGCTCAGGTCATGATCTCAAGTCTCAGGAGTTCGAGCCCCACACCGGGCTCCAGGCTGACAACTCAGAGCCTGGAGCCTGCTTTGGATTCTGTGTCTCCCTCTCTCTGCCCCTTCCCTGCTCATCTCTGTCTCTCTCTGTCTCTCAAAGATGAATAAACATTTAAAAAAATTTTTAATACAGCTTTTGGAATCTGTGGACTAGTGTACACCTTGGGTCAAATTATATTCTTTCCTCACTTTATACCCTGCTACCTACTCTCCCACCTGTCCTCCCAAGCCCCTAAAAAAAGAAGAAGCAACAGAGGTCGATAGCATTTGATAAGGCAAATTCCCATCCTATTGGCCCGGCCCTCGGTTTTACAATTACAAAGTTCTATTTTTTTTCAATTTTATTTTATTTTTAAGTTTCTTTTCAGAGAGGATAGACGTGCACACGATCAAGGAAGGGGCAGAGAGAGTGAGGGAGAGAGAATCCTAAGCAGACTCTGCGCTGTGATCACAGAGCCTGACTTGGGGCTTGATCCCACGAACCGCAAGATCATGGTTTGAGCCAAGATCAAGAGTCAGACCCTTAACTGACTGAGCCACCCTAGTCCCCTTACTTTTTATTTTAAATAAAATTCCTTTTAAAGGTAATTTATTTGTATGTTTGTCGCAGTCTCTTTTTTTAAGCTTTTGTTTTTAAGTAGTCTCTACACCCAATGTGGGGCTCAGACTCACAAACCCCAAGATCAAGAGTCACATGCTCCACCAACCCAGCCAGGTACCCCCATTACAGTCTTGATTATGATAATGAGAAATAGGAAACAACCTTCATATCAGCAGTGGGAGAATGGTTAAGTAAGCCATGGCTCATCAGTACAGTGGAATAATAATCTCAAAATTTAGCCACAGATTTATATATGCACTACATTTTGTGAAAATTAATATATGTGCAGAGAAAAAAAAAGTGAGAAATACCTTAAATTGTTAATGGTGATTATCTCAGGGAAGGTTAATGGTTTTGTTTTTGGGTTTTTTTGGCTTCTATGGTTTTCTATATTTTTATCATTCTTAAAACTAAGCCTGTATTACTTTTATAATGAGAAAGCAAAATCAGTGAACATCAGTTTTACAAAGAGGGTGTCATGGGCCTTTTTCTTTTAACCTCTCTTCCTTTATCTCTGTTTGCAGTGTACCCAACCTGTGCTAAACGATCTAATGCCGGACATCGCCATGGGTGTGTCCACACTGTCACTCAAGGACAGGAGGCTTCCAGAACTGGCTGTTGACACAGAATTAAGCCAATCAGTTTCTGAAGTAGGACCAGGGCCTCCCCAGCATCTGTCGTGTATTCCACAGAGGCACACACACACGTCTCGAAAGAAACACACGCTAGAGCAAAAAGCAGATGCTCGAGAAAATCAGCAGGAATATCCGGATTTCTATGACTTCTCAAATGCTGCTTGCAGACCTTCTACACCTGCTCCTGGCAGACGCACCCCCTCCCCTTCGCAAGGTGGATATTTTGGTCCCGATTTGTATAGCCACAATAAGGCATCACCAAGTGGCTTAAAGTCAGCCTACCTACCTAGCCAGACCTCTCCTAAAAAGCAGGAAGAAGCTAGGAGGGAATATCCACTTTCCCCTGACGGGCATCTACACAGACAAAAGAATGAGCCAATACACCTTGATGTCGTTGAGCAACCTCCCCAGCGGTCAGACTTTCCTTTGGCAGCCCCAGAAAATGTTGGCAATGGTCCAGCCCACGTCAGGGGACGAACAGCAGTAGAAACTGACTTGACTTTTGGGCTGACTCCCAGCAGACCCTCACATTCTGCATGCAGCTCTGAAGCTCCGGAAGAGAGACCCAGTAGGAGACTGGCCGACAGCGAGTCCCTGGGCCATGGAGCTCCGCGTAATTCCGATTTAGAAAGGGAAGATTCAATAAGCAGGGGAAGGAGGTCACCAAGCAAGCCAGACTTCCTCTATAAAAAGTCTGCCCTCTGAGAGCAACCTCCAAGTCGTCTGTGCCTGAGATGTGAAACATCCCATTTTATGATGTAACCCAACAACTTAGAGACCAGTTTATTGATGCCAGCGAACTCAGTTTCACATTAGTTTATTCTCGTTTTTGTATATACATGTTTATTAGACATGGCATGCTAAGAGGGTTATTTTGAATGCTGCATCTGTCTATTTTGTGTTTGAACAATTATGTGGGGAAGCATTTTTAAGAGCAAGCAAGCTGGCACTTTTTTTTCTCTTTACAAATGATGGGATTTTTTTTGCACTTGTACATTTATTTTATCTGTGTTGATTTTATATCAGTATGTTACACTTTATTGCCACATTTAAAGGAACTGTATTTTCATACTTTTTTGCATTTTACCTTTCATCTACCAGTTTCCACGTGCATTGGATTGCACACTAAGATGTATTTTCTTATGAAATAGTTCTGTGTTTATTTTTTAATTATAGAAATTCCAAAGAACAGCACATCAAAATGCTCCTCTCTTTTCGGTAATCGTTTTAGTTCAGAAATCTTCCTGCTCAATCTCCATAAACCTAGTATCATTCTTCCTTACTTAGTAAGTCTTTGGGAGCTGGTCTTCATTCCTCCAGCGGGAGTCCAATCAGGATCCTGAAGTTTTCTGGTTCAATAAAGAACAGAAAGGAGCAAAGCCTTTTGTGCCCAGGCTTAAAGCTCTTGCTTTGTTCCCAGTGTGGACGCTGTCAGAATTCCTGCGAATGCTGGTAGTATGGATCAGCGTATCACTAGATGAGGTTCTAAAGACATCAGATTTTCTGGAATCCTAAGGCAGTGGAAATAACGAAGTGACTTAAAGCTTGCACTACGGGATTTCTGGTTCTGAGCTTCGACTCTCCAGCTGAGGACTGCTTGCTGCCTTCAGTTGTCTTGCTCTCTGTGGGAAAAAAAAAACAAAAGGGCTTCAGTCTTATGGATGTCATTTGGTGTTTGTAAGCCTATGTTTTCTTTTAAATGTTTTTCAAAGTGTGTCTGAATTTTGGTGTCCTAAAAAAGTTGTTGTAGAACGCATAATGCTTTGTCACCAAAAAAAGAAAAAGAAACCTTTTTTTTTTTTCTTTTCCCAGTGAAACACTACATGTCCTACTTGAACTCCATTGGGGGGCGCTGGTTTGGGATTTTACTGAACCACTGAGCACATGGGATCTTTTAAGATCCTCTCCCTTGGAAGGGCAATGTGTGAGCTAAGGACTGTTTTTTTTTCTTACTCTCCAGTGTAAATATATTAGTATTTGAGTTTTTAAATCACTTTAACATTATTTGAGCATTCACTTTGTATTTTTACAAACACATACACACACAGCCGTAGCACTTAGAAGAAAAGAGACTTGCTGAACATCCCCTCATATGAAGGATGTCTGGGAGCCTCTTTTCTGTGTATGTATATATATATAAAACTATGAATCACTCACACTCACTCTAAAACTATGCAGGGCTAGGGAGCCTTTACAAGCTACCATATAAATGAATTACATGCACTTTTAAGTAAATAGGTTTCTATTGGGTGTCAACAACTCTGATTTCTCCCGAAGCTGTAGTTTCTCTTACAGTCTTTCCTAGTTCACCCTGTGGATATACACTCAGGAATAATCTGACATTTTAAAAAATCCTAACAGTCGGTAGTCTCAAAGATGAGGAACTCGTCAGTCTATCCGCATACGGCCAACCGTTGCCCCGCGTTGTGCTGCCCGCCGAGTTGGCTGCTGCTGGCGTGCTCGTCGATGCCGGCGGTGGTGCGCACTGAGCTCGATGCCTCCCGGAGCGAACACTCAGCCCCTGGGAGGTTGGCTAGCTTCGCCTTTGAGGCTCCTTTTTTTTTAGAGCTAGAAAAACATAGGACTCTGTTCTCATTTTGAGGAGGTTTGACTCTTTATAATAGATGATGGTGTCTTTTGAAGCCGATCTCATTCTGTCTCCAGAAACAAAACTGTTAATTCCATCATATTCCTTAACGTGTATTTATATACATGTCTTGACATGAATTACTTTGATGTAGTTTTAGATTTCTATTCTGAATTCAGACCATACCACGCTAGTACCGCAAATAAGAGTGAGTAGAGCTAATCTGGGTGGGAAAAAGCTTTCTCATCTCTGACCTGTATTTTTCAAAATGTTAGATAAGAGCTATTTGATGTCACACGTTCATTTTTCTGAAAATGTATCAAATATTCTTTCATATTCCCCAAACATAAAAACAAGTGGCCACTGTTCCTACTTTAATTTATGAAGTTTGCTTTTACTAATTTAATAGCTGCTCTGACTAAACTGTGTGTAGAGAGGAACTGACTCTAACCCATGGGATTGTGGATTGGTGAGACTTTGCAGAAGGTAAGCAGATGTGGCTTGTGTGTGTTCGGGTGGGCGACAGTGGACTTCTGATGTACCTTGTGAGGCGTGGTGGCCGGGGTAGGTGAACAGCTGTGTGCCTCTGGCTTTGGAACCCACCTCTTCAATCCTTTGTAATGCGAACCTGGCACTAAAATCTTCTAATGCTGTTGTACTAAGATAAATGTGAAGCCTGAGTAAGATGGCTCTTAGGGAAAAAAAGCGTATGTAGAATATAAAATTTGGGACCTGGCATGTCACTCAGTTTAGAAATTTCATGAGAACCAAATCTCAGAAAGAATACCAGATCTCCTCTTGAGACCGTGGACAATGAGGCCATCAGACAATCACCTCCCTCGGTTGCCCACTGTGTAACAGAGAACTACCGTTTAGCCCCTGGAGCAGAAAGAGAAGATCCATGTTTCTTCAAGATGCTGTTGGTCTTTTTCTTATATTTTTGTCTTAGTTTTGTGATTTTGATGGATAACTACAAAGTCACCTGTGACTCGAAAAGAAATAGCATGAAAGGCAAAAACGATCACTGAAAAGCAGCCATTTGAGTTTTCCACATATCACGGCCTTTGTCCCATGCCCCTTAGCCTTCTCCAGGCACACATCCTAGACCTAAGCTCTCCTGGCATTTCCAGAACCAGTTGGATCTTGAGGATTTTTAACAAGTTCTTTGTATTTGAGTCTTTTTGTCGAACTGTCTGTGAAACTTTACCTATTCTTGGTTTTGCGTCCTCAACTCTTTTTATTACAAGATTGCCATCCTTTATTGGATTTTCTTTTGGTTGTTTGTTCACATTCTGGCATTGGACCGTCCTTGTCCATTTGAATGAGGGTGATGATGCAGAGTGTGAAGGGTGCAGTGTGGGGGCGGCAGGGGCTCCCAGCCGACCCCGCACCAGTCTCTGAAGGGGAAGGGTTAACATTTCTCAGTAACTACTCAGCAAAATAGGTATTTTCGTGATGTGTCATCCTCCTTTTAGGGGGAAACGTGTTTCATGAAACACTTCTAAGACACTTGTTTTGCAATTCTAAGGCATTCATGTTTTTAGCTTAGGAATGAACTCAAAGGGAAATGACTTTTTTTTTTTTTAATTATTATTTGGTTGACTTTCAACTTTTCAGTTGAAAATTACTATTACAGCAGCAGTGATGGGTGCTATTCCCGGTTCTGCAATGGTTTACTTTGTCTACTAAGTGGTTTACTTTCAAACCTCATTACACATAACCTTGCTAAAAGAGTTGCCGTCACACACTAAAAGGTATTTGACTTTTCCACGGACACTGTCGTATGAACAATGTTTTATGAACTGTTAAGTTGTCTTTTTGTCCTGGAGATTGCAATAGCGGTTGCACAATTGTTTTATTGGCAAGTCTTTGGGTTTTTTTTTTTTTTCCTTCTAGAAAACCCTCAGACCATGTGTCAGCCTTCCACATTCTGAATATCATAACGCTGTGGCCGTTTCTAGAAAGATGACTTACAAGTGTGTGTCTTGAAAACAGCCTCTCGTGTTGGTGTGTTTACGTGGGTTCTAAGAGACGAGGTAAGCTCTGGAAGCTTCTTTGTGTACTACACGTGACCGTGTATCCGGGTTCCGTGGGCAGGTGGTGTGGGATCCTGCTCTTAGATGGGGTGGCTCAAAGATACAGATTCCTGAATTCCACTTGCCGTCTGTGTACCACATCTATTCTTCAGAGAGGTGGCATCTTCTACAACACTGCATTTCCTGTGGTTGTGCTGTTACTGCTATGAAGTCAAGTGCCTTCAATGCTAAAGGCTCAGAAATTTTTCTTAAACGGATTTCATGTCCTATGCAAGTGTTTTCTACAACCTGCATAACCAGTACTTTGTAAAACTTGTTTACGCTTCAATTGTACATAGTGTTTTTTAAAGAAATATATAGTATTTTTATTTAGGTACCTCCAAACTTGAATTCGTCTGTGTGAAGCATTGTAAAACGATACATTTCTCTTTTGAGTATCATTACGGTTGTACAAAGGTTTCCACTGGTTCTATTTTTCTACTGTTACTAATAAGCATGTAGCACTGACTTTATCCTACATATAGTTGGCATTTCAAATAAACGGCTTGTATAGAACCTGCTGACTTGGATAGTCTGTTTCAGCCCTGTAGCACGCAGTCCTCAACATAGGGGTGGGGTGATGGTACCACCCCAAGGGTAGAATTGGGAAGAAAGGTGAATGTCCCCTGTGTTTCCAGGGTTTCAGTCCATCAGGGGCTTTTAAAAATTATTACGGTTTTCTTGGAATACCACATTTTCATCGGAGTCCGATTCATTCTTTTACTTCACTGGGAAACTTCTGAGAGATTTCAGCTTACAAATTGTAGCAAAGTTACTTGCACAGGGGTCTCCAAAGGAAGTTCTGCATCCTGACCGCATGAACCCCCGCCCAGAGTGTGCCAACCACGGTGGTCGGTCACTGAGAGACCCAGATGTGTCCCAAGACTCATAGGTGTCCAAGCGTCTGCACTTTTTTCTTTCAAACTAGGGCTCCTTCGTATTTTTCAATTTGAAAGGGTAATGGAGTCATGATCTTGATGATCTTGTCTAGTTTTCTGAAAAACCATATGTGAAACAAAGTTTTCTAATTCCCATTTTCTCAA